ACCGCAACTGCCAAGTTTACTCAAGAAGATAGAAGAATGAAGGGCAAGGAAGATGCTTTCTTCACAGGTGTGCTAATTCTCCAACCCTGCGCGATACCTCTTCCATGTCTGATGGAGGCGTTCTGCAAGTCACATCCCCTCAGGATGACTTGAACCCTCACACCTCTTGGGCACTTCCTGTCCCCAGAAGTAGCTGTCCAGCTTTGCAGTCGGTGCTGAATCGCTGCTTTCAGACTGATGTCCCAGAGGACAAATACGAAATACCAGGCACGTGTGGCCGGGAAAGGACATCATCTTTTCATGTGAATGTAAGGGCGCAGTTTGAAAGAACGAAGCCCGCCTGGTTCTCAGCCTCCAGGCTCTCTGAATCACCATCGAAATAGACACACATTTTTTTGGAGGGCTACATCTCCCAGCCCCTCTCTCTGGGCAGAACACCCAGGGGTGGCTTCACAGTTGCACAGAGGTTGCAACTGGACCGGGGGCATCACCTCCCTTGTCCCACGAGTAGAAATGCCTGCCTGATTCCCCGGTTCTGCGGGCCTCTTACCCACCTCTAATTTAATTTTCCAAGTCCCTGTTACACCAACCTGTGTTCGTACCCTGGGTAATTTTCAAAGCATTTGGCTTTGAAAAGAGCTTGTCCCTCTGCACAATCTAAATCCCGGCTCCCTGAAAATCCATCCCTAAGAGGAACAGGCTTGTGAAAAATCCAGGGGTCCTTCCTCAGCAACGGGGATCAAAGGCACCGTTAGGGGACAGGGGACGGAGGCCCCTTACTTTGTCCTAATCTTTTTACTGCAGCGTCCATATGTAAATATTTCTGTGAACAAGCAGGCTATTAAATTACATGATTTCGTGCTAAAGAATGAAAAAAATGCCTACAATCAGAGCTACAGTCCTCTCTATGGGGAAAAAAGCTGTTTGAAACTCGAAACGTTTTGGTTGGTTTCCTTTAGGACAAAATATTAATAGGTTGAACAAGATACATTTTATTCAGCAAAAATTTATTGACAGCCTACTCCGGGTGTGAAGCACTGGCTAGTTCTCCATCTAAGTCCTCTCTATCTGGAAAGTTCTCTGATCCTCCCTGGGATATATGGTGTTTTTTTGTTTTTTGTTTTTTTGTGTTTTTTTTGCGGTACACGGGCCTCTCACTGCTGTGGCCTCTCCCGTTGCGGAGCACAGGCTCCGGACGCGCAGGCTCAGCGGCCATGGCTCACAGGCCCAGCCGCTCCGCGGCATGTGGGACCTTCCCCGACTGGGGCACGAACCCGTGTCCCCTGCATCGGCAGGTGGACTCTCAACCACTGCGCCACCAGGGAAGCCCTGGGATATATGTTTAAGAGAAGGGAACTTAGGTCAACTGACACCAGTTATAAACCATATACAGCCTGCACTGCCGTATGTATATGTTTTATTTATCGGCTCTCTCTCTGCTATAATGTAAGCTCCATAAGTTAGGTGCTGTGGAGCCATGGAGGATTATAGAGCAACATTTTAACTTAGGAAACAATCCAGTTGTCAGTTTGAAGCTCTCCAATAACCTTCCCAACAAAATGTTAGATTCTTATCTCATTTCTCAGACCATCTGGCCCCCTGGGGGGTGTGGGCAGTCTCCCACAGCTTCCGAGAAAGAGAGGGCAGGAGTGGGCAAGCAAACGTTTCTGCCCTGGCCTCCTGGGGCAGGGTCACTTCCAAATCAACTCATCTGTGAGTCCCCCATCCGGTGGGACTGGTTGGGAGGCTCAGGAAGGGCCGAGAGTCTCTGTCGTCATTGGCATCTTCACTTGGTTACTCCAAGGAAGCTAAGTGGCCTGAGCCTCAGTTTATTCATCTGACGATGGAGCTGAGATGCCCACGAGAAGGTTGGCTTAAGGAGGTAGGGAATCTGGTTCTGGTCTAGTGCCTGGCACAGAGTAGCTGCTCAGTTAACACGCGATGGGTGCATGGACTGTGTGCACCTTCATAGTGATGTGAGCCGTATTACAGAGGAGGAAACTGAGGCTCAGAGAGGTGGAGCAATTCGCCAGTGGTCGCAGAGCCAGGAGAGGCCGGGCTGGGCCAGCTCAGCCCACTAAGACCACGGTGGCTTTGTCAATGCCTGGGGCTCTCTATCAGAGGCAGGGCCCCTCATGACTTTCATGGGTGCTCTTTATGTGCTTCCTTCTTCAAAAAAAATGTATAAAATTATCTTTTACTACTGCATCGGTGTGAAAATGAGTACAATTCACACTGGATCATATTCATTTCTTTCTTTCTTTCTTTTTTTTTTTTGGCTGTGTGGCGTGTGGGATCTTAGTTCCCTGACCAGAGATCGAACCCACGCCCAGCCCCCTGCATTGGAAGGGCAGAGTCTTAACCACTGGACCGCCAGGGAAGTCCCTCTTTCCTTCTTGTTTGCAACGATATTAAACGTTTTCGTGGGCCCTCAGTGCCGCGGGTCCCGGGCACTACGCCCGATAGAGAGACGGAACACTCACCTTGTCCTCCTCTGCCCTCAGGTCCGGCATGGTGCTAACGCACAGGCTGACGGCCATGGTGGCCACGAAGAGGATGGACAGACAAGCAAAGACCTTTCCGGGGAGCCCCGACTGTGGGTTCTCCACCATCTCCTGCAGCCAGTTCATGAAGAGCGCCCAGCGGGACGTGTGCACGGTGGGGCAGCCGGCTGCCCGACACTGCAGCGTCTCCTCCGTGCGCAGCTCAGCCACTTCGTCCAGCTTCCTCAGCAGTGTCTGCAGGCAGCATGTCTCCAGATTGGCTTCTTCGATCCCCCAGTAGGTCAGCTCCTCCTGGAAGGACAGGACACACATCTCCTGGAGAAGGACCAGCTTGCCTGCCGCCAGGAAGCTCGCAATCACCCCGAAAGCGCTGGGGCTCCGGTCAAAGAAGAACTCTTGGTTATCCTCGTCGTAATCGTCGCAGAGCTGAGCGATCTCTTCGTGGCTCCGGCAGAAGCGGAGTTTGCTCAGGCGGCTCAGTGGAAACTCGTCCAGCGTGCTCCACGGAAGGAGGTACCGCTTGCCCCCCACGTTGACCAGCATCTCCTTCTTCAGGTCCCCCGTCCAGGAGGCGTCCTGCGCTCCCAGCTTCCGGGCCCTGCGGTAGTAAATGCCCTTGATGGACGGGGGCTCCACGGGGCGTGGCAAGAACTGACTCAAAGGGCCGCAGGAGCCGAGGTGATGGTGTCTGGGATGCAGGCCCCTGTCTCTGGAAGGCATGGGTATCACCGAAGACGTCCTGGCGCCCGAAAGGGACAAGAGCAAGAGAACGGGGGAGACATCAGTCTCAGGGCAGAGTCCTAGACAGCATCTCCTCATGTCTGCTTTCCTGCAACTGCACCTGCATCATTTATTCTCTTAATCTTCCATCCAACACAGATTTACCGAGCACCCACCACTATGCGCTTGGGATCTATCAGTGAACGAAAAGAGACGATGATGACATCCCTTCCCTGACGGAGCATTTATTTATATCTCAGAAGAATCTCCCTGGAACAGCTGTGTCACTTTCAGGCTGTGTGGTCTTGGGTATGTAGCTTAACCTCTCTGATCTCAGCATCATTATGGCAATGACAAGACTCGTCCCAACTTTGCAAAGTATGGTTGTTGAAAATAGAGCTTAGGGTGTAAAACTTTGTCAAGTTCACTGCCAGGTGAACTGCAATCCCTTACGGACTGCCACCCCAGGTAGGTTTCTCAGCCTCTCTGAACCCTTTGCTTCATCTGCACAGCTAGGGTAGTTTGAGTGCCCACCTCACTGGACACAGTGAGGGTTACGTGCAGTAACACATGTGAAGTGTATATTAAGAACACTTCTAGATGCTTCTGACATGGCAGGCACTGACCCACATGCCTCTCCTATGTTAACTCATCTCAACAACCCCATGAGGTAGACATTAGTATACCCATTCTACAGATGAGGAAATTGAGGCCCAGAAAAGTTAAGTAACGAGGAACTGTATGTGGCACAGTGTCCGACTCCCAGGAGAAGCTCCACAACGATCACCTGAGCCCTCTTATTTGCTTTCCCCCTTAGAGGACTTTGCTATCAATGAGAGCACTCCTCCGTGTTCATTGGGTGCTTTCCTCAGCCACCTTGCTGTGTGACCTTCAGTCAGTTACTCCCCCTCTCTGGGCCTCGGTCTTGTTATCTGTGAAATGAAGGGGCCTCTAATGCTCTCTTCATTTCAGACCTATTTGGGATGCTTGACTTACAGGGAAGGGTTTTAGATTTAGCCCATGCATTAAAAAAAATCATCGCCACAATATTTCTCATCCTCAGCCTCCTGCAACTGTTTCCTGTGCTATTCATTTTAGCCAGAGCTGTTTCCAAAGCATCCATAACCTTACATTCCAAGATGCACTCCAATCACGAGAAAAACTCATCAGCTGAATGGAAATAAAAGTTCCTCTCAATTTCAGAGCCAGTTGGGTTCCAGCAGACAGCGAAGAGTTGAATCACAGCCGATGCATTTCACACGTGCTCTCCACACAATAGTCTGTTATTCTGCGTGCATTACTTCGTTTACAATGTACGGCCAGAGAACGATGAGCAACCTGCAGAAAGAAGCGTATTTTGAAATCAGGGGAGCCGCTTCCCAAGCGTTCTTGTTTTCCGAGTGAAAAGACACAGAGCCAGAGGGCTGAAGTGACTCATCCAAGGTCACACAGCGAGTCCCAGTGCAACCAGGGACTCTGTCTCCCAGCCGGAGGCTCTTTCTAGCACCCCCCAAACTGCTCTTTCTGAATTCACTGCACAAACACAACTTTGTAACCCACTGCCCCCCAGAAGTAGCCAGCACACAAATGTCCTTCCAGAGCGTGGGAAAGGTGTTCACTCAACACGGGGCTTTGACAAAGGATGTTTAAGGGCACCGTGCAATCCGCACCCCCCGCCACTGCAGCAAACACTAACTTCTTCCCCCGAAGTTTAACTCACCCTCATGTCTCAGGGAGCCTCTTGGCCAGCTGTTTCTCTGCCGGGCAAGGGAAGCCCATGTCTCGATGCCCAGGGAAGAGACAGGTTTGTGGTGAGGATGAAGGAGGAGAAAAGAAAAAGCCCGAACACAGCAGTTTCTGGCCGAGTTAGTTTTCAACCTTCCTTTCCTCGCCTCCTTCAGAAACCAGAAGTCCGTTCATTCTGCAGCTCTCTCTCCAGCAGCTGCAGAAAAGCCCAGGAGGAGTGGGGTGGTTTGTTTTTTCAAATCCCCTTTCCCAGAATCCCTTTTCCCCATGAGAGGTGAGGGTCTGAGGGGTTCGTGCTGGGAGGGAGCCGGGCCAGCTGTCCTGCTTCAGCGGTGGGCTCTGCGCTCTGAGTCCCACCGGGAAAGCCAGTGTGGTCCTGCAAGAGAAGCGGGTGGGAGGATGGGAAGGGCTTAGAAATAATCTCTCCATCAGCCAGACAGCAGGCAGGAGCAGCCGCCGCTCTGCCAACCGCCTGGAAGGCAAGGACAGCTGTCCGCCCTCCCTTCCAAGGAGGAGCAAAACTCGGAAGGAGCGGAGGGCAACTTAGGGCTGGGGCATCTGCAGCTACCTGTCCCAGGCATCCCGGAAGCTCCTCGGGATGTGCTGACGATGGGGGGTGGGGTGTGCTCAGGTTGACGCTGCAGGAGGAACTGCTTTTAACTAGCGCGGGCCTGGGACAGGTGCAGAGAAACCCAGCATCCGAGCGCTGGGTGGGAGTCCCGGAGGCTCTGTGACGGACCCGGAAGTGGTGTGAGCTTGGAGTCGTACACACCTGGATCTCTGGTTCCCATGTAAGTGGATGGGTGGCCTTGGACAGGTGACTTTGTGCCTCTGAGCCTCAGTTTCCTTGTTTGTAAAATATATGAGAAGGAGAGGGGGTTGGGGGAGAGTCACGCCGGAAGGCACAGGGCGGCCTCCTTCTGTGGGTTTGACAGCATGATCGGGATAAAGAGGAAGAGGCCCAGTTCTAGGGCCTGCGTCCTGGCTTCAGCTCTGCACTGCCTTGCTGTGTGTCCTTGGGCAGTCACTTCACCTCTCTGGGCCTCAGTTTTCTCCCTGGTCAAATGAGTACAGTGGAAGCGGTGACGGCGAAAATCGCAAAAGCGTCTTCTCAAGTAGGCGCTCAGTGTACACTGGCTTTTCCTAATTTTCTTAAGAGGTTCTGAGGCTCGATCTCTTGGCTTCCAAAATGGAGTTATTATTATCAGCTCCATTTTGCAGATGAGGCCTGGAGGTCTAGGGAAGAGGCTTGCTCAAGTCACCTTGCTGGTTGGAATGTGCACTTAACAGAGACTCCAGGTTCTGGTGCAAGGATCTGTGAGGAAGTCCGAGCTTGAGTCTTCCGAAGCTGCCTGGAGGCGGGTGGCAGGAGTGGGGGGACCTCCGTGGGCTTTCTGCAGCCCGGGCAGTGGGAAGAATCCCCCCCCCCGGGCAGTGGGAGGAATCCAGGCAGGAGCAGAGGGGCTGATGGAATGGAGCCGGTCTAGGGTAGCACTTTGCAAAGGGTATTGCCTGAAACCTGAGGGCTCTGCATGAATGATCAAGGGGGCTGGAATTGGGGGGCGGGAGACAAAGAAGATGGCAGGGAGGGATGAGATTCTGCCTCACCATGGCAGCTTCAATCAGATCAGTTTCCCATAGTGCGTCTATAAGTGTAACCCAAATAATTGCTGTGGCCCCGCAAGGCCCAGTCACCACACTCCGCCCACTCCAAGAGACCCCAGGGCGCCTGCTAGTGATGGAGACCCTCTGACCCCTTCACCTGACTCCCCAGCTCTCTCAGACCTCACAGCTGCTCCAGCACCTCTCCTCATAGACGAGATACCGAAATCACCTTTCCAGCTCCTGCTGGCTTTTTCCCCTCCTCTCTCTCTCTGTCTCCCCACCTCCCCCAGCTCTTTATTACTTATCTCGATTTAACATCTCTGGCCAAATCTCCCCCCAACCTCTTCCCCTACCTCTCAGCTCTCTTTGGATCTGGAGTGCATGGGTTCCAATCAAGAATTTACCACGTCCCTGCTGGGTGACCTTCAGCAAGCTTCTTAACCTCTCTGGGCCTCAATTCCCTCATCTGTGAAAAAAAGATGATAGAACCTACCTATTGGTTTGTTATGGGTATTGAACATGTCAATTTACATTTATAAGGCAAGCAAGTCCCATTTAAGTGCTTGCTGTTATCATGATTATTATCTTAAGAAGTCACCCACAAGAGACCCGGAAAAGGGAGGAAAGAGTCTGAGCTCGCAGGGCCAGCCAATGGCAGGCCAGTGTGCTTTCCACAGCCTCAGTGCCTTCTATCGGTGCTGTCACTCTGTCCAGGCATCCTGGCCCAGGGTATTCAAATGAGTCCTTCCACAGGGCTTGGTAAAGTCCTAATTCCCTTTTAACTTAATGCCACTGCCTTCCTGCCCACAATATTTCCCCCGTTGTGTAGAGTTGACCTCAGCTAATCAGAGAATATAGCCAGGCCCCCATCCCTTTCTAGCCTCTTCTAAGTCTGGGATACAGGACAGCCTAAGCCAGCCCATCCTTGTTCTCTTCTGAAAGAGTGCCACCTGCCATATTTTTCTGATGAAGTGATGACCTGTGACCATGAATGAGTCTCCTAGGGCTGCTGTAACAAAACACACAAATGTAGTGGCTTAAAAGAACACATTTAGGATTATCTTGTAGTTCTGGAGGCCAGAAGTGCCAAGTGGATCTTAGGGGCTAAAAGCAATGCATTGTCAGGGCTGCACTCCTGCTGGAGACTCTTGGAGAGAGAATCTGTTTCCAGTCCCTAGGGGCTGCCCACACTCCTTGGCTGGTCGCTGCATTACTCTGACCTCTGCTTCCGTCCTCACATCTCCTTCCCTGACTCTCCTGCCTCCCTCTTATAAGGACCCTTGTGATTACATTGAGCCTGCTGGGTAATCCAGGATACTCTTTGAATTTTAAGATCCTTAATCACATCTGCAGAGTTCCTTTTGCCCCATCAGTAGCATATTTGCAGGTCCTGGGGATTAAGATGTAGATATCTTTAAGCCCGGTGAGACCCATGTTGGACTTTTGACCTCCAGAACTGTGAAATAATAAATGCGTGCCGTTCCAAGCTGTTAAGCTTGTGGCGTTTACCACAGTAGCGAGAGCGAACTAATAGAAACCCTGACTGGGGGAGGGGCAGGCAGGTCCCAAACCGGTCATCAGAGAGACTTGCAATTTGTCGAGGAGAAGATTCTGCCTTGTCTGCACAGCCAGGCCTGCCAGCACCTGCTTCCAGAAGTTAAGATCCATCGATCCATGCAACAAACACTTACTGAGATCTACTCTGCTGCAGCTGTCGCTCCCTGGCTGTGTGACTTTGGGCAAGTCACCTTTCCTCTCTGTGCCTCGGCAGAGATGGGGTAATGATAGTCCTTACCTCACAGGGTGAGTATAAGGCATGAATGAGTAAATGCACGGGAAGCACGACTTCAGAGCTTGGCACATAGTAAATGCTCCATAAGAAATTATTATTTCCATCGTCACTGTCGTGTATTATTACAGGAGCTCAAGCCTCCTGATAACAGAGCATGAGAAGAGCAGATGCCAGCGTGTTATGAGTGAACAGACGAGGCAAATAAACGGTGGTGCGCTGTTAAATGATAATAAATGGCTTTCTGGGGGGGAGAATGCTGATTTGTAGCATTTGCCAATTACTGTGGTATAAATACTCCTATCACGAGACTTCGTGCTGACAACAAAACATCTCGGCTCCTGCAAGCCCGTGCCCCTCGGCTCCGTGTATCACAGCACATGCAGCTCACCAGGCGACCAGAGTAACACTCCCCAAGCAGGAACCCCCCCCCCCCCCCGTTAAGCCTCGATGGGCAGGCAGCGAGTACGTGATGCAAGAGAGCAGAGAGGCAGGTGGGAATCAAAAATGATTTGCTTCTCTACCTTGCCGAGGGCTACAGACTTTACGCTGGCCTGGGGGAGCCTTTGGTGATGAAAGCTGCGGTTCTCCACCCTGGAACATTCTAGCATCACCCTGGGGAGCTTATAAAAAGCCCCAGAGACTGGGCCACATCCAGATCAGTGAAATCTGATAAATTATATGCGTTTTTCAGAGCCCACTGTAACTCACTCAGATACTGCTGGAAGCAGTGTAAATTGGCACGATCCTTTTTGGTTTTTTGTTTCGTTTTATTTTGGCTGCATGGCTCGTGGGATCTTAGCTCCCCGACCGGGGATCAAACCCGTGCCCCCTGCAGAGGAAGCTCAGAGTCCTGACCACTGGACCGCTCCCCTGGTACCACCCTTTTAAAGGGCAATTTGGCACTATTGACCAAAACAAGAAATGTGGGTGCCCTCTGACCTACAATCACATGTCTAACAATTTATTTAGCAGATACGTTTGTATACGTATGCAAAGACAATTGTATAAAGATATTCATTGCAGCATAGTCTGGGATAACGGTGGATTGGAAATGACTGAAATATCCCTCAGTAGGGGGCTGGTCATTTATTTATGACTAAATAACTCGTAGTCATAAAGGCAAGAGAAAACACTTGCTTTAACTCTGCTGTGAAAAAGAAACAGGAGAATCTCTATGTACTGACGTGGAAGGACCAGCACGACGCTTAAAGTTCAGGGTGCAGAACAGATCACCCTGAAGGCACTAGTTTGTTTGAAAATAGACAAGAGGTGTGTGTGTGTGTGTGTGTGTGTGCGCACAGAGAACAGTTATTTCTGAAAATGGGTAAAATCTAGAAATTGGGGTTGCCTCTGGGGAGGGAAACCCAGGAGTTTGGGGAAGAGGTGGGAGGGAGAGGGAAATTTCCTTTTCTCTCTATCATTGTGTACTATTTTATTTTTTAAAACCATAGACATGTATTGATTGAAAAACCTCTTTTTAAAGTAAACTTAAAAGGCATCTTGGTGCCAGGGTGGGAGGAGGCGCCAGCCGGGAACAAGGAGATCATTTATCAGCACCTCACTGCAGTGATGTGATCAAGGTCCTTGGGCCACTGGGGTCATTCAGCATGACCTCACGGGTGAAACTGAGGCAGCCCAGTAATCTTCATTATGGACTCGCAGTAAAAGCACACTCGGATCATTTCCCACTGAGAGTCCCAAAGTCAAGGTGCCTCCAGGAGCCAGGAGGATGGCCTCAGGCAGGCTGGGCAGGGGTGGTGGGGGAACCCAAACCCCAGCTCACAGAGACGGAATGTGGGTGCCATATTGTGGGACCTTTACAGTTTGAAAGGAGAGCTGTAAGCCTGATTTGTATGCTACATCTCTCAAATCCTAAATGTTGCCAACTAATAAGAAATTTATAAAGCGCCGTGGAGCTGAACATGTGCACATCTGCTGACCTAGCAATTCCTCTCCTAGGTGTATACCCACGAGAAACGCACACAGATGCTCACCAGAGGCACGGGTTAGGAGGCTTGTCACCGCGCTGTCGTAACAGTGGAAAACTGGAACACCCACTAACAGGAGAGTGGGTAAATAAATCACGTGTGTTCTCACAGCGGAATACCATACGGCAACGAGGGTGCACACACTACAACCGTGTGCAACAACACAGAAGCATCTCATAGCCGTTATGGTAAGTGCATGGAGCCGCACATAAAAGAGCAGATACAGTGTGCCTCCATCGATAGAACATTCAAAAACAGGCAACGCTAATCCATGGTGATGAAAGCCTGGAAAGCGATTGCCTTTGTGGGGGCATAGAAGGTTCTGGAGGCTGACTACACAGTTTTAAGTCCGTGCAAGTGATGTGTGTACCTTAGTATGTATGTTGTGTTTAATCTTTGAAAGTGGGTTGGTTTTTTTAAACTACCACTGACGTGGAGGGCCAAATAAGCCATGTCAGTGGGCTGGATTCAGTCTTGGGCTCCCCAGTTAGAACTAGATTGTCACAGTGAATGTCTTTGAAGTGGCTAGGCTTTCAAAGCTACTCCAGCCCCGGAACCTCTATTTTTTTGTCAGTCACCCGTGAATCCTGCAGTTACGCCCAGCTCTGTCTCTACATGGACCATGCCTGCCTCCCCTCCCTTGCATCCTCCTGGAATTCCGATGTCCTAGAGAAAACTCAGCAGTGGAGGTTTGCCCTCTCACCTCCTACCTCCCTTCTACCTTCCTTTTCTGGAAGGAAGGAGAGAGATGGCTGGACCAATGACAGCTGCTTCAGCTTTCTGTTTAAAAATATTGCTCAACGGGCTTCCCTGGTGGCGCAGTGCTTGAGAGTCCGCCTGCCGATGCAGGGGATATGGGTTCGTGCCCTGGTCCGGGAAGATCCCCCATGCCGCGGAGAGGCTGGGCCCGTGAACCATGGCCGCTGAGCCTGCGCGTCCGGAGCCTGTGCTCCGCAACGGGAGAGGCCGCAACAGTGAGAGGCCCGCGTACCGTAAAAAAAAAAAAAAATAAATATATATATATATATATATATATATATATATATATATATATTGCTCAAGATGTAATTATCCCCAGTGAAAGATGCAAGCTCTTCCCCAAAGCGAGGCTGTCCTCAGGCAGTTTGCAGAAGTTGTGGATTGTCAGGGACAAGTCTCTGCTTCAAAGGAGGCATGTGCCATTGCTTCTGAATGCCAGGCAGCTGAGTCCTTTCTATTGGAGGAGGAATCGCCCTCCAAGGAGATCAGATGTTTTATATTCTGGTTGGGGGATTACAGAGTGGAACACATGCTAGGGGCTCAGCTCCCGCCACCCTCCAGGTGCCTGTAGCTTTTTATTATGACATTTTTCAAGCAAGCAGAAAAATTGCAAGACTAGTACAATGAGCATTCCCTGCCTAGGCTCATAACTGCTAGCATTTTGTCATATTGACTTTATATATGAATATATGTATATTTTTTTTTCTGAAATATTTCAAGGTAAACTACAGGCACTGTACAGGCACTGAATGCTTCAGCATGGACATCTGGAAAAATAATTTCTACATAACCGAAAAACCATTATCACACCAAACTCGATGAACAATAATTAATAAAAATTCCCTAACATCATCTAATAGTCTATAATCAAATTTCCGTGTCTCCAAAATGTCCTGTGTAGTTGTTTTTCAGACCAACATCCAGTTAACGGTCACATATGATTCTCCCAATTAGATTAGATTCTCTCAGTTAGATTGGTGGATTCTATTTCTTTACTCTTTTTTTTTTTTTTTGCCTGCGTTGGGTCTTTGTTCACTTCGATCACTACTATGTGTCGCTGAGCTCGTTCTGTGTGCCACACGCTGAACGAAATAAACATTTTAACCCTTACGACAGCCTGATGATTGGTGGTAGAGTCAGTTATTCTCTCAGTTTAGAGATGGAGACACCGAGGCTTGGAGAAGTTAAGGAATTTGTCCGCAGGCATCCAGGATTCAAAACCGGGTCTGTCTACTGCTAAATCTCTGTTACATCGCACCGACCCCTCCAACTCCAAGACCAAATTTCTGGGGCTGTGTGCCTGCCTCAGGAGGTAACAGAGGCTGGGAGAAGGGTTGAAGGTTGAGTAAGAAATGCGAGATGAGACCAGGTACAGATTAAGCTGCCATTGGTAACCTTAAGGTTACGAAGACCCTGAATTTTACTTTCCATTTAACCTATTTTGAACATTCATGTATCATTTTGAAACCTACGTATGATCATAATGACTTAATACAACAGATATTGGTAACGATCATAAAGTTATTATTATTCTATTAATTTTATTTTTTAATGTTCAAGACAGTTGGCTAGTTTATGGGGCCGGTTACAAAGGGGTCCACGCAGATCATGTTGAAAGTGCTTGGTTTCCGCTGGAGTTACACTCCCTGCCGGGTTCTGCCACAGACAGAGCTTAAGGGTGGAGCCTGAGGGGTGATCAGGGGTAAGACCCAGCCCTGGACTTTAGGGCTGCATGTTGGGGAGACAGACTCACAACTGCCTGCAGCCAAGATTTAGAGAAACGTTAATGGGACAAAACACTGAGTTTCGGGAGGACAGGGAAATCTGAGATTGGTTCTAACTGGGAGAATCCAAGGAAGATTTTTACAGGAAGGGCCATTTGAGCTGGGTGTGGAGGTATGAGTAGGAGTCTGAGCAGTGACACTGACAAAGACCTTTGGGGCTAAGGGGAGTACAGGAGTGAGAGAAAGTGTGCAGAGTGAGGCATGTCTGGGAAGTGAGATTTGTGGCCAGCTCGGGAGGACAGTCAGAGATTAGGTCAGAAAGGAAATAGGAGTCAGAGAGAACATGGCTTTGAATGTTGGATTGAACACTGGGTTTTTTTTTTTTTTTTTTTTTTTTGCGGTACGCGGGCCTCTCGCTGTTGTGGCCTCTCCCGTTGCGGAGCACAGGCTCCGGATGCGCAGGCTCGGGGGCCATAGCTCACGGGCCCAGCCGCTCCGCATGTGGGATCCTCCCGGACCAGGGCACGAACCTGTGTCCCCTGCATCGGCAGGCGGACTCTCAACCACTGCTAGGAAAGCCCTTGGATCTTAATTTGAAAGGCATTACAGAGTCGTCAAAAGAACTCAGGAAGAATATGACCAGATCTGACCTACCTTAGGGAAGATATGTCTAGGGGGGGATGCAAAGACCAGATGAAAAGACAAGACAGGGACCCCCGGTTAGGACACCATGAAAAGAGGGTGTGAGGCAGACAGCAGGGAGCAGAAGAGGCAGAGGCAGCAGGAGGGATGCAGACGAGATTCAGAAGGAGTGTCGGCAGGATGCTCGTGGGGACTGGCGGATAGAGGGTGGAGGAGGCTACGTGATCCCGAGATCTCCAGTCTGTGTGGCAGAGTGGATGGGGGGGCCAGTAACCCACCTAGGAAGCAACGGAGGAGAAGAGGTTTAGGGGGAAAAGATGTCAGCCTGGTGGAGCTCGTTAGGTTAAGGGCGCCCAGGTGCAAGTGTTTGAGCAATTGCGTTTAGAGCCCAGAGAAGACCTCCGGGCTGCGAGCTCAGGCGTGAGTCTCCTCAGACCCCCTTCCGGAAGCGGAATCACCCTCGGGGAGGTGCGGCTGAGGGGGCGGGGCGGGGAGGAGGGAGGCAAATGATGGGTGACCCGGAAGGGATGCTGTGTGGAATTTCCTCTGCGTCCCAGGAGGCCAGAGGGAGGCCGGAGCAGCTCCGGGTCCTGGGAGGCCTGGAGACCACTTGAGGGAAAGGATTTCCCCCCAAGCCAGGTCCCAGATGAGAGGCAGGAAGTGAGTGGGGATCTGGGCTTGAAGGGAGCGGAAACGGGCTGATCCGGATGTGTCCCGGAACCGCGAACCCCCTGCCTGGTCATGGGGGGCCTGGCAGGATTCTCCTCGTGCCAAGAGAACCCCCAGAGAGCCTTGAGGAGCCCCCTGAGGGCCTCAGGTGGGACAGAGGCCCTTTCAGAGTTTCCCAGGTATTCTGAACGACAGCCTGGCTGAGCCCATTTGGCCCGGCCAACTAAGCCGCCACGGGGGTCACCACACCTCGTCAGGCTGCAGGTTAGTTCCTGTAAAGGGGTGAAAGAGGGTCTTAGAGGCCCTCCCCTGTACCCGCTACCTCTCTAACTCCCCTCCCCCACCCCCAGGAAGCATTTGAACTTGCATGGCTGCCCCTGAAGACGCGTGCTCCAAGGCCCTCAAGGAGAAGGATGCTGTTCCAGGTGAGTTTGGGGCCAAGCGTTTTCCCCCCGGGGATCTGCTGACCAGTAACCTGACCAATCCGATGTGAGAAGTGCCTCTCCTAGACCAGGGGCTGGCTGGCTGTCGCCTGTGATCCCCCCGACTTCTTGCTCCCCACGGTCCCCCTTTTCGACAGGCCGGCTCTCCACCCTCCGTTGTTGGGTAGCTCAGCCCGGTACCCACTGGGCTTGGTAGGATCCCTGGCAGGACAGCGAGGCAGCACCGCCGCGGGGGATAGGCTGGAGTTTCAGCAGGGCCCGTGGTGGTGGACGGCTCTCCCCAGTGTCATTCTGCAGGGGCGGAGTCTCTGCAGGGGCGGAGTCTCTGCAGGGGCGGAGTCTCTGCAGGGGCGGAGTCTCTGCAGGGGCGGAGTCTGCAGGGGCGGAGTCTCTGCAGGGGCAGAGCTGGCAGGGGGCGAAAATGCCCAATGGCAGGAGATGTGAACTCTGGAGCCCAGGACACCCCTGTTGGCAGTTGGGAGCCTACAGGTGGGCACAGGGAGGGAGGGAAGCAGGCCCACAGCCAGGTGTTCTTACCTTTGGAGGTCTCTCCTCACGGAACATCCAGTTTCTGAAATGTGCCCCGACCCCTCATCAAAGATGTGGGGACATGTTTCTTTAGTATTGTGCTTTTGCAGTCTTTTGGCTGCAAGGAGCTGGCTGAATTCAGGATCGGTCCAACTCCTCAGCGTGCTCTGTTCCTGTTTCAGATAAGCCTTTTCAAAATGAGACAAGAAAGCGACAGATTGGTTCTGATGTAATGAAATATTTTGGATGTCATTGGCCAGTGAACAGATACATAGGTTAACCATCAAAATCTACATTAATAGCACTTGTATTTTTTCTCATGATTTGGAAGCTTTGTTTTCAGAATCGTGCATCTTTTAGTCAGCCTCTGAGAAGCTTGAGGGTCCAGGGGCCTTGGCCAGAGGGGCCCTAATGGGGGCAAGGGAGGAGGGGGAAGGGGTGCCGGGGAGGGACCAGGGGCTTAGGAGAAGGGCTGGGTCTCCAGGAGGACAGTGGCCAAGCAGAGGCAAAGACTCATGTCCAAGTTCAGGAGGACAGGAGAGTTGTAAAGGAGGGGTCCCAAAGTCCCAAGGGCAGCTGGTGGTGTGAGGTCAACGTGGCAAGGTGCCACCAGGACTAAGCAGGAGGGTGACGAAAAACTTGAGAGTAAGGCAGATGGATGCCTCTCCGTCCTTTCAATGTCACAGTACAGCCTCAACTAACAGGCCAGCCCGGGAGCAATTTATATTTAATTCTCCAAGGAACCGTGCCTTTGTTCAACTCACTTATTACTATTCATTAGGGTCCAGATTCTGAAGTGAACATGCTTAGTGGCAAATTTGTGTCTGGTAGAGATGAATATGATTTCTCTCTGTTAGCAAAGAAACCCCCAAGGATATGGTTGCATTGCCCTGCAGAAGGCTCACTGGTTTTGAATCTCGCTCAGCAATCTCATCCCGACACTGTCAGGTGCGTATAAACATCACGTGCTTCTTGGACCAGCTTTGCCACACCGTCGGCCCCCTCGCTCATGAGCAAAATAGATTTTCCGCACGTGTTCATCCTACAAGAGGCATTTTTTAAAAAACTTTTTGAAAGTTATATTTTGATGCCCTTTCCTAGCCAAACATGCCTGCTAGAGGCCCAGGCAGGGCAGGCCCAGGGGGCTGTCGGGACCTTTTAGAGGATTTTTGGTCTCGTGGTGCCTAGAAGCACGTGGAGTAGCACAGAGTTCGGCTCCGTTTGTTTAAGTCAGTCTGTGTTTCCAGGTACCAGATTTTGTTCCAGGAATCTATTGCTGTAAAACAAACCATCGTGAACTTAGTGTCGTAAAATAACGAGCACTTTATTATGCATAAAAAAGAATCGTGGATTCTGCGGGTCAGGAATTTGGATGCAGTAAAAAAAGGCTAGTGTCTCCTCTGTGATGTCGGCCGGGAGACTCAGCGGCCGGTGTGGCTTCAGCGTCTGGGGCTGGCATCTTGGCAGGGATGGCCGGAAGCTGGGCTCAGTTGGGACCGTTGGCCGGAGCATCTCCTGGTGGCCTCTCCAGCACGGTGGCCTCAGCAGGTGGTTGGACCTCTATCATGGCAGCTCAGTGCTCCTGTGGGCCAAAGGGGAGCTACATGGTCTTTTATGACTCAACCTCAAAAGTCACATGGTGTCACTTCTGCTGTACTCTATTGGTCAAAGCCGTCACAAGCCTGCCTATACTCAAAGGAGGGGTCACAGCCCTGCCCCTCAATGGGAGGGGCGTCAAAGACTCTGTGGTCTTGTTAAAGCTGCTACTGCTTCTTTAAATTTCTTTCCTTTTTGGTCATTTGATGACTTGTAACCTCCCATGTATCATAATAAACCATGAGGCTTTGTCAGAGCCAAGGGAAGAGCAGACCTCCAGGTTTAATCTTTGTTCCCAGTTCTGACTTTTGTCCTTGGGTTGTTTTTTTTTGTTTTTTTTTTGCGGTGCACGGGCCTCTCACTGTTGTGGCCTCTCCCGTTGCGGAGCACAGGCTCCGGCCCAGCCGCTCCGCAGCACGTGGGATCTTCCCAGACTGGGGCACGAACCCGTGTCGCCTGCAATGGCAGGCAGACTCTCAACCACTGCGCCACCAGGGAAGCCCTGTCCTTGGGGTTTTTATCCAGTCATGGTATCTTCTTTCTCTTGGTTTTCTGATCATGAGGGTGGAAAATATGCCTATTGACATAAGAGAATATTCATTCTACACTTGGTAAGTGAAAGAGGCAAAGGAAAAATAAAATGGAAGACTATCTACCAAGGTGCTAAGTGGTTATCTCCGAATGGAAGGTTTAGACGTGATTTCTATTTTGTTGTCACGAATAGGTATTTTTCTTTCTGTACAAATTTCAAGTATCATGTGGAGATCAAGCTTGCAGGCTCTGGAGTCAGATCATCTGGTTTCAAATCTCAGTTCTTTCAATTTCTAGCTTGGGCAAATTACTTTGATTCTCTGAAACTCAAGTTTCCTCATCCGTAAAATGGGGCTATCAATAGGACAATAGCACCTACCTCAGAGGTAGGATGGTTGTAGGATTAAATAAGACAATGCATGTAAAGCACTTACCATAGTATCCAGCATAAAGTAAGCAGTCTAGATTCGGGATTATTCTTAGTGGTATTATTACTAACAACTTTTTATAAAAGATAACCAAGCAAAGGTTGTACAATTATACAAAAAAAAGGCAAATTATAGAATTACAGAGAACCCTTAAAAAAAATAACTAGGTCTTAACTGTTTCTAATGTCCTGACAACAGCATCTCATGTTAGTGTTTGTGTGTGTGTGTGTGTGTATGTGTGTTTTATCAGGAGCCTAAAGCCAGTTTTATTGCTGGAAAAATATCTCATAATTTGCTCTCACACCTTTTAAGAGCTGATTGCTTCAGATGTATTCCACCTTCCTGAAGACTTTGAAAATCTGGGGCAGTTATTTTCCTTAGAGGGGAGCGAGAAGGTCACAGAAAAGTGTGCTATCCCTTGGATCCTCAATATTCTAGAGCAAGCCCTCAATCGCGCAAGGTTGAGAAGCTAAAAGCAATGAAATAATTGACCTTAATTTTTTAAAAAAATGCAGAAGCTTTGTTCTTTCTCTGCTGGAACACAAAAACATTTGTTATCCTAAAAAGAAGTGTTTCTTTGACTGCTTTTGCTGTCAGCAGAAATTTTGGCTTTTGCACCCAATACCCTTTCTAACTAAATAAATAGGAAGGACAGACAGATTATCAGTTGTGCATTTAGAGCAAGTCTGGAGGAGCAGACAGTGGTGGGGAGGTGGCGTGATGGTCCCCTCATCCAGCCATGGTGGAAGACGGATCCCCTGGCAGCACTGTGTCTCAGGAGCAGGGCCAGCCTGGGTCTGATGAGATGGGATCACATCTTACACTGTTGCAGAGGGTAAAGTTGGGCCAGAGCTGGAAGTCTGTCAGTTTTGCTCCTGGCATAAGGACTGGCATGGAATGGACATAGTTATTAGTAATAATATCACTAAGAATAATCCCGAACCTAGACTGCTTACTTAATCCTGGATACTATAGTAAGTGCTTTACATGCATTGTCTTATTTAATCCTACAACCATCCTACCTTTGAGGTCGGTGCTATTGGCCTATTGATAGCCCCATTTTACAGATGAGTAGCATTGGATGGGTGGATAAATAGAGGAATTAAGTGGAGTTGGAGACACTTTGCTGACCCCTGAGCGTCTGGGGACTCCCAAGCTCTGCTTGGGAGCTATGACCAGAATCCAAAGGAAAGGACACATTTTGGTCATTTTTCTGCATTCCATGTGAGGTTTACCTGGCTAACGATAAGAATATTTATTAAAGACCGACCATCTGTCCCTTAGGGATGTGGTGCTGGGGTTGCAGAAAACAAGATTTATTTTATTCCAAATAATTTTCCACATTTTCTAGAATGAACATGTGTTGTTTTCATATATTCATACAAAATTTATGACTGTGTACAAAGAAGGCAGATGCACATTCTCCTCTTAACAAAGAATCACAGTTTTTATCTTGTGCCTATTTCCGGACGCTTTTCGACGCATTTTGTATTATATGCTTGAGGGCTTGCTGCACGCTCTTCTTCGTGGCCTCAGTTAGCCACCACCCCAACAGCAACTTTCAGATGAAGGCTTTTCATATTGTCTTTTTACAGATATGAAAACAGTAGCTCAGAGAGGTTAAGCAACTTGTCTGAGGTCACACAGCAATGAGGGGGTGGAGGACCTGACATCTGAGTCCATGCCCTTAAACATCCTCCTGTACTGCGCCCTCCTTGCAAACATAATATAACAAATTAATTTGCAAGTGTATTTTTTTGTGATTTAAAAGGTAAATTCATTTTTTTAATGGGCAAAGGTGAGGATGGCAGCTAGCTGATAAGTGCAGAGGACCTGATCATTTCTCTCCCAGACCTGGCTCAAGTGCGTTCAGAGTCCAGGCTCCAACAGCCCAGGGGT